AGGCACCAACGAGCACAAGGAGAACAAGAAGGAAAGCAGGAGGGGAAGACTAGAGAGTAGTTTGAGAGACGATAACATTTAATATCACTTCGGAATTTGCCCCCTCAACCACAAGCTACAAACCAACACCAATCAGCTCAACTCGGCATCGCTCGTTTGAATAAGACTTTTTTCCCTGCGTTGAAGCACCCACTTCCAAGTGATTGGCCCATTAGCGTATATCTCATTCCGCAATTTATCCCCCAAGCCCTCAAGTTAAAAGTTTGTTTGTTTGTTTTGCTTTTGAATTGAGGATCGTTATTGTCACTTAGCTAACATCCTCAAGTTAAATGGTCAAGATCAGCGCACCATGCGTCTCTCCTTCGTTCCGCTACTGTAGCTCTCTCGTCTGATCGTTAGCACACAACATAGTACAAAAATGAGCACAGTATACCTTACCTGCAAAATGAATGAAATAGCTCTCTCGTTGCTGGCGCCAACGCAGCCATTGAACGCTGACCAGGGTGTTATGTCACCGATGGCCTCATCAGACCAGGCAGCCTCAGTTGGTGACTTTCGGTTCCCGAGAACCCACCACGATAAAGAAGAGCGGGGCTTGCTGTTTACCAGCCTCACAAAGGTTTGGCTGAAACATCATTTCCGTATCGATATACTTCGATGTGAGCAACTATTTGTTCAAGTAAGCATTCTGGGGCAGATGCTGCGGCTGCGAAGCAGGCGCAGTAGATGCCCACGTTAGAATCAACTAGAGAGTTGGGCTGGGCGTGCTTTTAAGGATTAAAAACAAAACAACGGTGGGATTTACTCAATTATTATCCGTTATCATCATCCATGAAAATATTCGAGGGTGGATGACCAGCCAGACTGCTGAGCTGTCGCCACATGAAGGGGGGTGTTCCATGCCTAAGCTGCATTCCGACCTCCTTGCGCTAACCGCTAAAACTGTGGAGACGTGGGCTCTGACAACTGACGCCAGGTCTAAGCACGGGGTACGGATACATCCACCGGATATCGGTACTACATATTGTGAGTACGGTACCAATCTGCCCTATGCTCCGGTACCATTATCACGACAGTAGTACTATGTATCCTGGCGTGCGCGTCCAAATAAAGGGCGGTAATATTTATTTTACCGTAAGATATGGAGTGTCTAAATTTAGGGACGTCAGTGGGTGGCTCATCACAATTGGAAGAGGGGGGGGCAAGAAGCGAGTGGCGTCGGTGCTTGGGATGGCGGCATCCGGCTCCAGGAGACTGCTACAGCATGGTATGAGTTCGCAGTCAACGAGGCTCGGCCCGTCAGTATATCTTACCGTTAATAGGCGTCACACTAACACTATCGAGGTTGCTTCGTTCTTACTTTGGAATTTAGTATAGCACGCACGTAATCGGCCGGATAGCAGCGCCTAGGCTCCAGCAGACGAGCATCATGTCCACAGCGCAGCGCGAAGGCTCCGCCTCAGCTGTAGAGCGAACAGGCTTCGTCTAGTGCTGCCAAGACCTCACGTTTGATGTTCACAAAGAGTGCATCGTAGAGGTGGAGCTGCGGACATGGTGCTCAAGCTTGGAGAGAGAATGCGGACCAATTTGTGGAGAAGCCTCGCGCACACTGCTCGAATCACGACGGGATCGATGAAGAGTAAAGACATCATGAAAGCGCTCGGAGGTTTGCGGAGCGACGTACCTGTTAGTGACAAGAAGCAAGCACGCACGAGACCTGGTCGTTCGGTGTCCGGTGGGGAAACCGAGTGATATGGTACCGGATACATCGAAATGATGTACCGAACCGGAAGAAGCGATCCCGGAGCTGGTGGGATTCCGGCTGGTGATGCTACACGCGGTCGATAAGCTGCGTGGAGAGGACGTGGATGTTGTTACGCGATGATTGTTAAATATGTAAACGAAACAAACTTCTAGTTTTTTGTTGACGATGATGCGCTCATTTGGTACAACATTTCGTATCAAAATTTAGCTAGTGTACAGAATTCTATACCGGACGTGAGTTTAGCAACACCTTGTTGTATCAAATTTCGCATATGGGGATCATATGTTGTACCAATATACAGATTGTAGCTGTTAATGATGACAACGGACGAGTTAGATACTCGTATTGCTTTGGAAAAGAGCAAAGAGCTCAAGCCTTCGCGAGAGGACAACACGAGCTTCTTACCTGACCCAAGTCACTGCATGCAGCTGCCACAGACGGGTCGAGGCCATGTACAAACCTTCCTGAGACTTCGTGAACGCACCCATTCCCAGTTCAATGCCGTCGATGCTAAGGTTATGCGATCCTCTGTGGTGGAACAGCTTGCTCGTCACCTTCCGTTACCACTGATCACACCGTCCGTACCAATACAAAGATGACTATTTGAGCAACACTGGTAAATAATTAAAAACGTTACGTGTTAAAGCGACGATGAGGGACGATGAGGTTGAAGTGTTAGATGTTCAGGTGCTCGATGTTGAAGCGTTGCTTGCAGTGTCGAATGTTGAAGTGTTGTTAGATGTTGCATTTTGCTGCAGAACAAGCTCGCTATATGTACTAATACTTACGTAATGGCAAAGTTCGGCTCCCGCGTTGCGCTGGGGTTAGATTTTACTCAGGGCGCACTATTGACTACTTAGGCTAGGTTAATGACGTACACGTACCCTTTCAAAGGCAGCTTGCATATGCATACACCAAGCCAGTCGTACCTTGCTGTAAAGGCTTGCGGCTGTGAGCGTTAACTGTGTATAGCAAGCTGGAAGTCCAAGTTAGTCGGTGCTTGCTGAATAGACTATACTTCCTTTAAGAACACGGTCGGATATAATTACCCCAGGTGCAGGTGCAGGTAGCATTTGCTCTAAAACATGAGTCAAATGTGGGCATGATATGACTTCTTATCGTTACTTTTGCTGCTTGCGGCACTGGTCTTACATGAGGGTGACTCTTGGCTCACCTGACACCGATATCTAAAAGTCATAACAAACGCTTGTTTCCGTTGTGAACTACTGGTGTACACTGCGGCTGATGGATTATCTTCGTAAAGTAGGTAAATGATCATGATGGTCAGTATGCACGCGTTATATAGTGCTCCACTAACATGAATTAGACGGTCAAGGGTATAACGAGAAGCAACAATAACTACAATAAATAAGCATTCCCCAAAGCTTCATGTTACGAGTCTTATCGTGCCGATCTCCATTGTAAGGAAATTCGTACAACATACACACAAATCGTTACAATCCCTACAGTATCTTACCAAACATGCTTTCTCTAAATTTAGACATCACCTCGTGTAAACTACGGTGCTGCAGCGCTCCGAAATATTTATTTTCGTCATTTATTTTCATATGACTTTGTAGAGTTACTCGAAAACATATGATTGTTTATGATAGGGTTAGGAAGGCCTTACATATATTTGTTTTGTCCGGTGGATGTATTATCGTCCCTAAGCACGCGGGTGACATTCTCCGAGCGATACATGGGGAAAATTCTCCTAGCTTCATAGTGCCCAAACCTGATGCTATCCCCTCCTACCAGTTGGGAGAGACTATTCTCGGTACTGGCGAAAAATGATTCCGATACGCATGTACCTCTTCCACTTCCGAATCTACACAGCTTGCGACGGAGAACGTTCGAAGTCAATGCAGACTTTGCAATGGTGTGCGTACCCAGTGGCGCAACGGTGGACTCGAATGCAATATGATGTCGCTACTAGAGGGCCGGTTGCGCAGGCTGGAACAACTGCTGGAGCGAGAGCATGGAGCGTTCGTTGTTGACGGCCTGCTGGACACCAGAGTGTACGACTTACGCATTTTATCGAGAGGAAACAGGAGAGCGAGCAAGGTGTTCAATCAAATAGCGGACGCGAACACAACTGTAAGAGATATAGCGGTACCTACGTGGGTGAAGACAGGTGTGGTGCAGTGGAGTTCTCCCAAGTACGGCTACCCGATGGTGTCGCACCAGGCCACTCAGTTCCGTGAACTAGCGCTCCTACTCCTCTCTTCCTACCCGAAACTACTTACGGAGCCGCCGGCACCACACAAGATGTTCATTCAGCATGATGCCAAGGCCAAGGTTAATTTTGAGGCTTACGCTATTACCGGCGGTGGTTCTGCAGACGCAGTGCGCAAAGGGAGAACAAGTGACCATTGAGCCAGGATGTGAAGTACTGGAGAGTGTGGTGGCGAAAGCAATAGGCAGTTCCTCCCAACGAACATGGTGTACGCCCCATAAGTGGTTGACCAGGCTGTCTCCGACGTGAGCTAGACACCGACGATGGGCGCAAACAACTAAACAGTACAAAACTAAAATATCAGCCAACCGAGTTGGAATTGGGAGATCCACAGTCACAAAAGCGCAGCAAAAGCTTATATCGGAGAACGCAGAAGTGGGAAGCGCCCTGCAAAGACTAACCTGGGACAGCATCCGACACATTGTGGGGACGTCAACTTATGATCAACAATCTCTACATCGACTCAAGCTGAAGCTGCCACCCGAGAATCTAAGAGCGTACGTAGAGAGGCACGCGAAAAAAGGGAAACATCTGTGTCCAGCGGCAGTCGAAGTGCTTGGTGCTGTCACTGACATGTACTGGAAGGCGGTAGTCACCGCAACGATCGGCCTACTCTGGCGATTAAGAATAACGGCACTGCACACCAAGCCAGGCCAAAACCTCGGCAATGCACTCATGCTAGCGCAGCACAAATCGAAACTACGACGGACTTATCGACAAGTCGCTCTGGACACGCCACTGACGCCGGACACGTATGCGGAGTGGCAAGTCTCGACATACATTCACGGTGAACTGTTCAAAGAAGCGTCGCAGTGCCCCGTGCACGCGGTGGCACTACAAAATGATGTGGTGGGCTTCTTTCATGGATACAAAGGAATTCCACATGCAGGGGCGCGTGCCGGAGCAGTTCTTGCCCATCATGGAGTACTAAGTGGAAGCCTGTGGGGAACAAGTTTCTCACTCCCATCGCCATCATGCACTCACAATATTGCTGCTTTTGTCGCCCTTTATCATCTGCTCAGCGCTGCAGACACACGTGGCCTCAGAGGCATCCATGTCGCTGGGGACTACGAGCTGATCCTGCGAGTACTTAAAACTCGAGCGCCACCAAAAGCAAGACGACTACAAATGTGGTTTCTCAAGTGCAGACGTACCGCGGACAGAGTGCGAGTCGCGTCATGGACACTCTTGAGCAAGTCGGGGAACGCTGCAGCGGGCAGCCTGGCCTTGACAGTACCGGAGGAAGAGCTGACGCACGACCTCGAACCAGAGGCAATTCAGGCGAGATTCCCACATATCGACACACTAGTGTCGCGATGTATGCTTGAGTGGTATAACACGCACACAGATGCAACAGAGGCGCTAATAGATCAACGCCTACAAGGTAATAGTGGAGAGGAAGCGGCCGAGGGTTAATTAAACCACGGCAGTAGGGTTGTTAGGACTCAATCCCCGTTAGGAGAAGTTGTCCAATATACCTCATCATCAGCATCATCATCATCCATGAAACTATTCGTCGACCTGTGTACCCTCCCGGAGCACCGCTCCGGGTTGCCTATAAAGGACGATGTTACAGTGGTGTTGCTTGTGAGCTGGGCTACCATTTCTGCTAACTTCGACGCACATCACCAAAGGTGCAACAAAAATGTGAAATAAAACACCTGGATCCTTTACTTTTTTTGTACGTGTACAGGTAGAACGCAAGGTCTCTCGGGCTACGATTGTTGCCCGCAGCCATCATCACGGCATAATGTTGACATCCCCCACACTTATGAACACGACTTGAGATTGCCTGGCTTGAATCATTGATCCAGGCTGGATAATTTTCTTCGAGCCACTCGAACATCTCCTTGTCTGCACTACGTCTGGAAGGATCTGCCTGTAACCGGAGCCTCTCCTTGAGCAGTTGTAGCAGATGATCGCTGAGATCGGGGCGTTGAGCATGCTGCAAAAGAACAACTTCATCGTATCAATCGTGATAACGGCACTGCGTTCCGTTGGTAGAAAGCGAACCACCCCGAGCTGGTTGCGCGGCTTGCGGAAACCAAAGCTATTGTAGCCTGCTGCTTCGAACAAAGCTCTTTCAGGCTGACCCTCAGCGGTTTGTGTAGAGCCACTTTACCACATCAAGATGGCCATTACTCGCTGCATTGTTCATCGCATCAGCCGTGCAGCCCGCTCCTACCTTGTGCAGCCACTTCACAATATCTAGACGGCCGCCATCGGCAGCGTTATCCATCGTACGGGGCAAAGGTCTCACTGAAGTGTTTTCGGGAAGCCATCGCAGAACGACCAAGTTTCCGCGATAGGCAGTCATGTGCATTGCCAAACTCGTGCATCCTTCCGATCGGTTCGATTTTAACCACTTGAGCATCGCTATCTGGTTGTCCACAAATGAATCGGGTCTTTTGTCGTCACAACACGAAACGTTTCTCTTGCATCCTGGTTCATGACAGGCTTGGCCGGCTGCGTTATTCATGGCTGCAGCCGTACACCCTTCCGATCGATTTTCATGCAGCCATTTGACAACCGCAAGGTGCCCACCGCCAGCAGCAGCACTCATGGTTCGTGTGGTGCAGTGCGGGGTTCTGGCCATCCTTGCCTCCGTTTTCCTCTTGGCCAGGAGCGATCGCTCAATACGATGCAAGAACTGGACCACTTCCAGACCGTGTTTAGCAGCGATATCCATCTCGGTAAAACGTGCGTCCCCGAGCTCCGCAGAGATGGGGTCCTCTGAGTCGTTTTCGTTGACCACGTCTTTAAACAATTTATTCCGCGGTTTTCGACCATATCGCTCATATAGCCACTGAACCAACTCCAATTGTCCAGTTTTCGCCGCAGTAAACATGGCATGAGAGGGCCAAGCTTGTCCAAGACGAGCCATCCTAGCGAGCAGCAACTCCACGATCTGAATACGCCCGTGACTACAGGCGCAGGACAAAAGCGGGGCGATACACGAGCTGAGGGGACTCCACAGGCCGGTCGATCAACCACCGAATGAACTCGAGATCATCCGCTTCCGCCGCGGTATGTAGTGCAGCGCCGATAAGCTGTTCCGTATTCAGTTGACCATAGATCCGCGGAAGCAAATAGCGCACGATTTCTTTGCAAGTTGGCCACGTCTCCTCATAATACGCAGGACTTTCGTCAATACTGGCGTGCATTTCATAGCCATGCGCTGTTAGCCGCTTAGTTTCCTCGAAATAGCTCTGTTGGAAAGCAGACGTGAGTCCGCGAGCCGCCCTATGGGGGAGGCGTGATTCCACCCAGTGGATGAGATCCCAGTGACCACAGTCTACCGCCCAGTTGAGTAGCAGGTTGCCCCACTGAAGACCTCCCGTGTTATCAGCGCGCTCCAGCAGCTGCAAAATTTCCAGTCCCCCTTCTCTACAAGTTTCGTTCAGCACTTCTTGGTACACTGGACAGCCCGAATACCGGTCCAGAATCCACTCAAAGTGGTTCATATCCCCATGACGAACTGCCGCAGCCATTGCTTGCGTCAGCTCCCACCGGAAGTAGTGCGGTTCTACCTGCAGCAACCTCGCCGGACTCCAATTGTCGCTCTCCAGGATTCGAAGCCCCCTCGACCAAATGAACTCCAGCAGCAGCGTCGATCCGGGGTGACTCAATTGACAGCCTCGACTCAGAGGCATGTCCTCCACCAAGAGGTCAGAGATGGCGATGCCCACGCCGTCAGGAACATTGAATTTAAGCTTGTCGCGCAGGGCAAGGCGCACGACCAAGAGCGGCGCCACCTCCATTGAGTTCTTCTTTTTGTCGAGAGAAAAGGTCGAATGCCTTTCAAAAGCGGTGCACCCCATGTTTATTATACAACATCAGTATAAATAACAGTGATCTCGTAGTAATATGATATAACATTATCTATTACTTCGAAGTAAAGGGTATTATCATGCTAGAGTATATGGCTACTACGGTATTACTGTTAAATATACTGTCATTCTAATAACCGAGCACCTAAATATCATGTTATAAAAATAATTACGCGCTTCGAGCGACTTGTTTCGCAGTGGATATTTATCAGAACTTCCCTCAAAATCATTTGAGCCAATCACCTTCGAGTAACACGGTTACTGTGGAGCAAAGAACATACATACAACAGAAAAGAGGCAGAGCCACTCATCACCATGACGTTCGACTTCAATACAGAGGGCGAGTGCTCGAAACTCGGGGCGGACTTAGTTGGCTCATTTGCTCCTATGCCGCTGGAGATGCTCTTTCGTCATGCTTTGATCGCGGACAACTGCTAACAAGAACAGTCTGAGCTTGAGTTTGAGGACAAGCGAGTGGAACCGCTGGAGCCTCCACTGGCTTCTACGAGCTTTTCGTTCCAGGCCGCTCTGATGTCTTCGCATGAAGATTTCCACACGTCCTGCTTACAAGTTGTCGACGATTGCTACGTTGCCTTTGCGGATGGCTACCTGGCCGATAGCAGCGCGCGTTGTGCCCTGCAGCGCGATTTCCTGTTGCGCCATTTGTCCAACCAATGACACACGGTAATACGACGACCTCCAAGACCGTGGAAATCAGGTGGAGGTCGCTGAGTGAGTCCTTTGCGGTACTGGGTTATCACCAGAAGGCGATGGCCTCCGTCGAGTATCACAGACACGTGGGAATGCGTGCCATCAGCTCGTCGGCCAGATACACTCTGTGTAACACCCCGCCACGATCGTGTCGGTATTCCCTCACCTTCTCGCGTATCCACAACTGTGCGACGCCCTTGTTGGTGAGGTGCTGGCGGTTCCATCGCAGATTTGCTTCGCTGTCGAGGTGGATTCAGGTCGCATCTGCCGGATTGAAGAGCGGTTCGACTTCGGGACTGCCACACCCAAGATTATCCGTAGCAGGCAAGAGCTGCCGTTCATGCTGTCACAAGCAAAGCTTGCGGTGGAAGGCGCCAGCTACTGAAGTGAGGTGGTGCGACCAATTTCCAGCATTGAACAAGTAACTGACTGTGCTCGTTCTCATCTTACAGCGACGAAGAGCTCGAAAGTGGCGCCAATTACTCGGACGATACACATTGCTGATACCGTTACGTGATGGCGAGATACACAATACAAATTGTTAATCCATTATCTGTGTGCATGAGTCAACAGTTCACATGAAGTCCACATAGCAACCAGTACGAATGATTTGCTTGAATCAGTCGAGCACCGAAAAATGGTAGTCAAATCATTTGACTTAACTGGTAACATTCGCGTGTTCGTCCTCAACCTAGAGACACTGACGTAAGATACTTACACTTCAAGTCTGAGGGAGTCTGCTGGGACCGAGGAGCAGCTTGAACAAAATACTTAGCGGTTGAAGCTGGTGCCCAACTGACATGCTCGAAGCTGAGCGAATACGCGCGGATCGAGCTTCCAGTCTGCTCCAATCCACCCCGTCCTGCGTAAGCAGTGTCTGGGAGACCACAAACGAGCACTCGCGGACACCATCTCGGTCCCGGAGGTCAAGCAGCTCAAGAAGTTCACCACACTCAGTTGGTGGAATCATACCTGGTTTCGCCGACTGTGTTGGCTGTGTCGTTTGCCTTGGTCCACTTCCGTGCAGGCCGAGATCACGTAATGAACACAATATACCTCGCCTGAAAAATGAAAAATGAAATAACTTCACGTCCGTGACGGACCCTATCGGAGTCGACATGTTCTTTGGTGCTGTTTACAACAGCCATCGAGTACCTGGTTGCCCACAGACGTGCTGCAACTAAATTGACTACCCCGGATAGCCGTGGTCATGAGCTGCGCACAGCCGTCGGCCTTTTTTGTGAAGATTGTGGGTGCGTTATCCAGCCGAGGTCTTCGTTGCCCTTGAAGCGCGCCGTCACTCCAACCGGAGATATTTAAGTTAAGTGCTACGTAGCATAAAATAGTAATTGACTATAACTAATAATAACAGTAATAGTAAATGGTAGATACTACTGTGCATAGTACACGAGATTTGTATATCAATATCAGCAGTCGTTATAATATTAATAGTGCTTTGAATACTTCTCTCTCACGCAGTAATAAGGTAACAGTGATATTTTTGGATACTACGCGATGCTTTCGAGCACAGTACTAAATGACGGCTACGCATCATCATCACGACTGCCGCCGGCCTAGGTCTCCCTCCGTGACTCCGCAGCATCGAGGCCACATGCGAGTGCTTGTTCACGCTCGCGACAGCCATGGGCGTCACTCCCTCCTTGTTCGATGCGTTCACGTTCGCCCCGTTCTTGATCAGCACTCGAGCCACTTCAAGTTGTCCGTACTGGGCGGTGGCTCCATCGGGTAGACGACGCCTGTCCACGTAAGCCCCCTTCTCGAGGAATTAAGTAATTCAAGTAGATTGAAGCCTTTTTGTAAAAGTCTAAGTAGGTGAATGCATCAACTAGCACAGTCAAAAATAAAGTTTTATCAGAACTTGAAAACGCGATAAGAATTAAGGACAGGGTAAGATACGAAGATGATGGAGGCCGAGCAAAAGGAACATCAGCGATAACAAGATAAGTAGGTGCCTCATTATTGAAAACATCATGGTGTCTCCTCGTGCCAGCTGCCCCCCTGTGCAACACCAACTTGGCTGCCTCAAGTCTGCAGCAGCACGTTGGCTAGCGTGCGTGCTTGGAAAAGCGGTACCCGATCCTAAAGGCTCAGCGACTGGAAAAGGCCCGAACCTACAAGCGCGAGTACGATAAGCTGTACCACCGCGCTCGCCGTGACGCGCTTAACGAGCTTGGCCTGCGTATCATCACTACGGCCGCAGGTGGCGTGACCACGACTGTTGTTGAGTCGCTCGTCCTGCCTGCGCCTGGGGACATTGAGTTAGGGGGGTTCAACAACAGCTCAGAGCTCACCTCCCCGCTCTGCTCGACGACGTCGTGTTTTCTCGGCACCTACTCCCCCGACGGTGATCAACATTACGGGGGAGGAGGACCAAGAGGACCTATCAACTTGCGCCATTTGCCAGTACGCGCCAGTGGCGCCGGTCACCCCACCCTCATACCACATGCCATGTGTGCCGAGTGCATGTCAATGTACGCGGCGAGAAGCATTCAGGCCGAAGATGTAGCTAACTGCCCTACGTGTAGAGTTCCCATTCGGATGTAGTCATCCGGCTAGCCATACAGCTTTATTTTCTTCATTTTTGAGTAAGTAAAAAATAAATGTTTTTCACTTTATTTTGATGAAATGGTTTAAGCAGCAAATGATAATATAATTGTCGTATATACTTCTTTCATTTACATTGCGTCAGTATCAATAATAGCGCACAAGAGCAAGCTGTATTGCTGAGAAGTAAAGTCGTACGATCGTACGAATTGTCGCTATGGAATACCAATTTTCGTCAAGTCACAGTAAGTATCAAAGTAACACATTCGTACGATATTACAGATATAATATCTTTCACTGAAGTTTATCCTTGAAGTACACTATCTATCCTTGATCTACCACGTGTATAATACTTTCCTTCGATCTAAGTTCGATTAAAGTTAAATAAGAATTTTATGATATCCTTTTCGTACGAGAAGACTTTGAAGAAAACCAAGGTCCGTTCTCGACGTATTGACACTAAGAATTCGAAATGTATTTTTTGCTTTATTATGCTTTCGCAAAGACTTACGACTCTACTGCATACGTCTTGCAGCTCTAGTATTATTGAGTCATAGCAATGGCAGGCGACGCCGCAGAACCTGGTCGGGCGGACCTGCGTTTGTTCTTCGGCTTTGGGCCCGGCTTCTTGCCACGCTTCCCTAAGTCAGCTTCAGTGACGATGACTTCAGGTACTAGCAGTTGAAGATCCTGAGCGATGGTCGCCGAGCGGACGGTCGGGACAAACTGGTAGTAATATGTCCGCCGCGCGACCGACACGGTGTGTTCCTTCCAGGCAAAAAGCTCGCTCACGTGCATTCCGTGATGAATTGCAGCTTTGACTGCATGGACACACGGGAACATCAGGTCTTGCCAGCGTCGGCACGTGCATTCCTTCTCGATCAAGTTCACGGCTCGCCACAGATGGACGTGGTCCGGTCTGCTGGTGATGTCCGTGAATCGCACCATGTACTGGCCATCAAGGCACGGCAAAATCTGCAGGGTTTTCGTAAGAGCCATGATCCCGTCGAGCTTCTTCTTGTAGGTGGGAAGGAGAAAGCCCGAGAAGGCTTCAGGGGAGGTCCTCATCACGTCAATTTCGCCATCGTCGTACGGCTCGCCTTGGGAGGTGCTCGCGTGTCGTGCGTTGCTACCTAGATCTTCTGTCGCGAGGAGGTGCGGCGCCTTTCGGCGAACAGCTCAACCACCTTGACGAAGTATTGCTCGAAAGCTTCCAAGGGGTAGGAGGACCGCACTGCATTGCCCAACCAACTGTTAGCTGCATCGGACAGGTTGGAAGTGACCTCGTCATAAGAGGGTTGGTTGTACTTCTCGTTGAACGCGTATGTCACCCAGTGCGACTTGTCAATTCCAGCGAGATACTCCACCACCAAATGGCGAGTCTCCGAGAGCTTTGAGCTGTAAAACTTGTAGGCGTTCTCGCATTCGCTACGTGCCATCTGAAACACAAGCGACTGTTCTGCCGGCGTCAGCGCGGAGCCCTTCTTCTTGATGTTGGTGATAATGTGCCAAACGCAAAATCGATGTCCAGAATCCGGATACAACTTCGTCACAGACGCCAGGAGACCCTTCTGTCTGTCCGATACGAACACAGATTTCCACGCCGAGACGTCTTGAAGCGCGTCTTTCATGTTCTGCAGGAACCAGCTCCAATTCGAGTAATCCTCTTGATCGACAATAGCGAGTCCGAAACTAGGATGTGACCTTCTAGGTCCTTCCTGGTCGCCAACAGAAACACCCCGCGCTTGTTCACATCACCCTTGAGATGTATTCCGTCCAGACCGATGACGTGTCGGCAGTGTTGCATGGCTTGAAGGCATGCCCCTGGAATAACGCAAGCCCTCCTGAACATTCCATTCTCGCGCCTGCCAAACCCGTACCTTGTCTTGGGGATTCGCTTCACTCACCATGGCTAGATATCCCTCCAGCTTCTGGTAACTCTCGACGACGTCGTCGCGCAGCGATTCGAGAAGATCCCGCTTGATCTTGGATGCCGCAGTTCGGTTCGTTATCATCCCATTAGTCATCAAAAAGTCGATGATAGCCCGCCCAGTGACCGAAGCCCATGTTCCGCTGTAAGAGGGGAGCATCTCACCCTCAACGACGCCCCTCATCACTTGGTAGGGCACATCGCGAAGTCGCTGACGAGTGGTATCTCCTGCGAGACCGCCGTCAACAAAGGTATCGCCCTGAAAACCGCCGTGTCTGAAGTGGTCATGGGCCAGACACATCCTTGTTATCTTCCAGTTGTCGCGGATCCCGTACACCGTGATGAAAAATGGGCAGTTCGCAGTGCTGCTTGGAATCAGCTGCTGCTGTCCTTTCACCGTCTTACAAGTGTACTTGGCGTTTCCTTCTTGATGACGAGAGCGATAGCTGTTGTTGGCCACGCGAATGGAAAAGCCACGGGCTCGAGCAAACTCGTGACAGCGTTGCAGCACAGTCTTTTTTTACTCAAACGTCACAGCCGCAACGTTGTTCCCATGGTCGGAAACGGCGCCGTAAGAAGAGGAGTCGCAGGGATCCAAGCCGACATCTAGCTCAGGTCGTAGCATGCGCATCTCGATGAGTTCGGCGATGTCCGCTTTTTCGACAGCGGATGAGGTGATCATGGGCGAAGACATTGTCCGGGTGACCGAAACAGGAGAGGTGGTAGAGGTGTTGAGGCGTGTAGTTGGGTGGGTATCCGACAAAAAGGCGAATGAGCCCTGCAGTGAAAACTCGCGAGCTTAGAGAACACGGGCTAAACGAGGTGGTTATGAAACTCCTACAGAGATGTGTTGCTAAGCCCGGCCCAAGATACTGAAAAACTGTATGAACGTCCGTTTCAAAACGTACGACAAGAAGCTCAGAATACCGCGAAGTGAGATGCTCGGAATGACCGTCCGTTTTAAAACTTACGAGTCGTAAGTTATTGCTGTCGTACGTTACAATAAACGTAACAGTAGTTAACAGAGGTGTGGCCTGCTCAGAATGCCCGTCCGTTTTAACACCTACGACTCGTAGGTTGTTGCTTTCGTTCGTTACAACAAACCCAACTGTACTTATCAGACGCGCGGCCGACGAAGTTTTAATACAGAACCAAGTGCGTTAGTTTGGTCTGCGTGTGTACAATTCTACGAAGCGAGGATGTAAACTTACACATTAGCATTACGACACTCTTACTCTAAATTGGTAACTTCGTACGAAATTACTTGGCCCCGGAAAACAGTTATTTTCGCCCATAAAATTAACGTTCAATTCGGATATGGTAAAACGTTATTTTTGACTGTGGCAATCTACTTGCAAGTTGATGCATTCACCTACTTAGACTTTTACAAAAAGGCTTCAATCTACTTGAATTACTTAATTCCTCCCCCTTCTCCAGCAGCATCTCTACCATGGACGTGTACCCTCGCCACGCCGCACACATGAGCGACGTCCAGCGCTCGAAGTCCACGGCTTCGATGTTAGCGCCGTGGTCCAACAGTAGCCTCCCCATCTCAAGAGCCCCTGCGTCACACGTAAGGTAGGGCGCCGTGGCTTGATTGGGCAGCGCCGTCACCATGTCCGCCCCCTTCTCCAGCAGCAGCGCCATGGCACTCGTCCGTTTGCCGTAGATCGACGCCATGAGCGGCGTCCAGCTCTTCACGTCCGGAATCTCCAGGGCCGCCCCACGGTTCAATAACACGCGCACACAGTCGAGATGGCCGCGTTGAGATGCGACGTAGAGCGCTGTCTCCCGATCCTCCTGCTGCTTGTCGATGCTCGCTCCGAGCTTGAGCAGCTCTTCGATCGCTTCGGCACGGCCCCTGCAGGATGCAGTCATGAGCGGCGTCCACCCTCGTCCATCCGAGTTCTCAATGTTCGCTCCGTGAGTCGCCAGCTGCCCCACCACCTCGGCACGGCCGTGCTGAGCGGCAATGTAGAGCGCTGTGCACTTGTTGGGAAGGCGCGTGTCGAGCTTCGGCTGCTTGAGCAGCAATAGAGATACCACTCAACTATGGCCGTTCCACACCGCCACCATGAGCGCCGTCCAGCCGGCCTTGTTGCTCTGGTTCACGTCAGCGCCGCGCTCCAGCAGCAGACGTACGCAGTCGGCGTGTCCGGCCTCGCTGGCCAGCAGCAGTGCCGAGTAGCCATTGACCATCTTCTGGTCCACGGACGCGCCTCGACGCAGCAGCGGCTCCACGACCTCGGCTGGTTCTGGAAGGCGGCCGCCATGAGCGGCGAGCGGCCGTCGGCGATCGTGGCATCCACAGGCACATAGTCCAGCAGAGTCGTGACGAGGTCCACGAAGCCCTTAGAGCTCGCCATCATTAGCAACTGGGGACCGATGATGGCCAGATCGAACTGGGGCTCGGCTGGATCACGCTGGATCGAGGCGTGCTTCTTGGAGGAGGCGCGTCGCTGCTCCGTCATCGCTGGTCTTGGTGTTGGAGGAGTGCGAGCTTGGCGGGAAATTGAACAATGAGGTAGAATGTGGCGAACTTCCAGCAGCGGTCATGTTGGAGTGGTACATCCTGACTCACCAGGGCCTGGTCGCGTCATCTCGTGAAAACTCGTTACATGATAGACCTTTCGGACGACGTGACGACGGGAGATCTGCTAAAATAAAATGAACAACGTTATTTGCCACAATGGCGCATATTGTGGCAAATAACGTTGTTCATTTTTTTAAACCCATATAAAACCGTTTGATCAGTTTAATCCGTAATTTATTTTAAATTACCAGAGCGTTTAGTGCGGCCAAAATGGTTGCTGGAACGCGACCTTCGGGCATAGTGGAGTTCAGTCACTTGTTTAATAACGTTGCTAGTTAAGAGTCGCATTAGAATTGTTTGATGAGACCACTTTTTGGTCTCATCAAACAATTCCCCGTGATTAAACTTTTATGCGCGACTTTTGGTGAGGGTTTTGGAAGGCGCCCAATGATTTTCCAGATGATCTGCATAAAAAGCTCAAAATTGTGGCTCAATTGTGGCTCAACTGACTATTGTCCGCGAAGACCATTCTGACCCGGCAGGTTTGTCGTATTGGGCCGATACGGCAACCCACAAGCCACACCGAGTCACAATCAGCCACAATCAGAGGTAAAGGCAGTAAGATATATTGAACGCAGCGTGTATTTAATGTGTATCTGCACTGTGCTATTTGCAACTGAAGTATGGATGCACTGCTCTCAGGCCATCGACGAACAGAGTAAATTGAAGCGGTTGCAGGTGCTCAGAGGTTACTTGAGGCACCTCAAGTTGCTGAATAAATATCACCGCGTATACCAACACCATCATGCCGCAGTTGTGCCATCTTGTTGTCGGAGGCTGTCCATGATTCAAATTTGGAAGCGTGTATGATAGTCCATGATAACTGCAGCTACGTACGTGTTGCAAGGCGCGCATGACAACGACTCCGCAGCAAATGCGACCGGCTCGTTACCATCTAGATCAACTTTCACGCTCCACACCCGCGTCTGCTCAAACTGCTCCGGTATCCTGGCATTCAACTTTTCGTCGACGGCTCATTTCGTTCGGTGCCTCGCTCATTTTACCAGTGTGTGGTTGTGGTGGTGCGAGATGCCGTTAGTCGAGTCTTTATTCCGGTGGTCTAAGGTCTGACAACGAACCGCACCATTCCGACGTACAACCGGCTGTTCCGGTTCATAGCGGATGCAGCCGGGCAACCGCTTCTATCAGCACAAGTTGTGGTCGACTTTGAACAAGCCCTGATTGATGCGGTTAGTGAGAACGTTTCGACGGCGCGCGTAATCGGCTGCTTGTTTCACTGGAAGCAGGCGATTCGCCGTCGGATAATTGCGCTGCACCTGCCAGCTCGCGAATTGGTATTGCCATGGAAGTTGGAGTGCTGGATATGCTGACGGTAGTGCCGCCTGCAGACGTCGACCCCCTCGGATTACAATTCGTCGAGCGAACGATTCGTCGGCGCTGTCGCGAGGAAGGCGCCTCCTACTCGACCTGCCACTGGGCCCTGTTTTGGGCTTATGTTGGCAGAACGTGGCTGACCCTGTTCCCGGTGGATATATGGAATGTGCATGGTATGGATTTGCAAGTTGTCTATTGTGCAGGGGCCTTGACTGCGTTTCATTATGCTCTGAACTCACATGGGACACTTTTAGATTTTCTGAAAAGCTCAAACGTAGGTCCCAACTTCATCGTTCAAGTATACAAATGAAGCCATTTACTTCGTGTACCTTGGTGAAAAGTCACGGTAATTGCCCGGCTTAAGTTAATGGCTAAGAAAAGAAATGCTAGGCAACAGTCTAAACCGGTGTAAGCCGGTGCTAACCCAAAACTTGATCGTAGCTCAACGGTACGTTATTGTGTGCGATTAAGTGTCGATTTGTATACCAACGACTAGTCGCAGAGCTATTTATGCAGATAGGGTGCTTGCTTTTACACCAATGAGAGTCAATCACAAAATATGGGGCATGAGGTGCCGGCACCCGACTTCGTTTTACTATCCAATTAGAAACGATAGAAATAGAAAAGAGATGATGGATAGTTAACGCATATTGTATACTTTCATAAGATATATCGGTATTAACTCATCGTCAGAAGGGTCGCACGTGGCTTGCTTGATGGAGTCCAGGAAGTGCTGCAATTGAGATCATGTATCGCGCGGCTACACGTCGACCCAGCTGCGAGTCGTAGCCAAGTCTGCCTCCAACCGAGCTGCAAGAGCGCTTCGACTGTCGCGGATGGGGTCGCTTGGTGCTTATCGACGTGTCAGCAACCTCTCGTACCCCCAGACGCCCGTCTGCACCCGCAGTCACTGCCATCGGCCTTTGAGGTGCGTAGTATTCGTACGGAATATCACTGCCGGTTCAGGAGCAGCTTATTCTCAGCCACTGCGGACCCGATATACACCGACTGTACTGACGTGTTGCGCATTGTGCCGTTGTTGTCGCTGTTATTGTTGTGCAGAGCGGTCTGTGCAGTTTTCACCGCCGGCCACGATCAAACTCTATACTAATGCCAGCGAGCTAGCCTAGGTCTACCCAGCGTCGAATGGTGTGTAGCCATTGCTCAAAGCTCCACGCTGCCCTCATGGCCCTATCACGCTACGTGGTAGCAGCGTCGCTCGGCGTGTGGCGGTACCAGCTCCGCCTGAAGCACGTAGCCATCCACAGTCACAACCTGCAGCGAGATTTCGCGTGCGCCTCATCAAGCCTACGCTGGCGGCTGACACGTGCTACGCGGGGCAGTACGTGCGCCAAGAGGTGTCCAACCCGGAGCAGACAAACTTTGGCAAATGTACGGGCGGCGTTTTCAGGAGTTCGACCGTGAGGGCGGGCTTTCGTCTCAAAGACGCGGAAGCTTTCGTTCAAGAAGTTAGACCACGTGCACGATCAGAGCAAGCAGAACCCGATTCCAATTCTTTCAGTAGCAGTAGAAAGCCTCGGTTATGAGGCTAGTAATCGTCGTATTGGCATGTTTCGTGGGGCTCTGCTATGATATTGGCACCAGTCGACAAAATTGGTTATACATTTGTACGGAGTTGAACTGTACATACTAAGAAGCAAATGAAAGAGATCTCGCATGTCCTTGGGAGCTCACTTCTTCTCGTTGTGCTTCTTTACGATACAAAGTATACACATACAAATTATACACACTGACGTAACTTTGTGTAGGCACCAGATGCAGCGGCTTATTTGGTTTATCGAGCTACCGCCCTACGCACTCGATGGAGAAACATCAGCGTAAAAACGACTTGAACTCTTCTTTTGCGATGCAGTGTAGAATGGAAAGTGAGATTGAATCAAAAGCTTTACCTACGAGACCTTAGCAGTTCGCTCTAGTTCCTACAATCTAGAGCCCTGACAAACTTGATCAGCACTTCGCGAAGCTTTGACGACCATCACTCTCTGCAACATGCAAGTTGCCCTTGTGTGCAGCACATAATCTGTGACGTGGTGCTGCAGCTCAACACTCCCCCTCAACTTGCATTCCAGGATCGCCGCTGCTGACAACGCCACTTGCCTTCACCAGTATCATGAACTGCGGAGTCGGGGGTGGCTTGGTAAGGTAGTCTGCCAGTTGTTGAACAGAGCGCACATGCTGGACCTTGATCGTTCCGTTTTCGACTTGATCACGAACGAAGTGCACGCGGAGGTCGATGTGCTTGGCGCGTGGGGTGTACCTGCTGTTGCTCGCCATGCTGATCGCTGCCTTGTTATCGATGAAGACTTTAGTAGCACACGTATCTCCCACCAGCATCTCTCCGAGCAGCTGCCGCGCCCACACCACTTCCTGCACCGTCACCGCAAGTGCCATGTACTCGGCTTCGGCCGAAGATAGCGCGACGGTCGCCTGTTTCTTCGCCTTGAACACGACCGGTCCACCACACAGCTGCAGAAGCACGCCTGATGTCGATCGGTGAGTAGATAGATCGCTTCCCCAGTTTGCATCGCTGAAGGCGAGCAAACACAGCTGAGTTCCGCGCCAATACTTAACACCAGTAGTGAGTGCACCCTTGAGGTACCGTAGCACGCGCACAGCCGCCTTCCAATGCATTTCACGTGGATCCTCGAGGTGTTGCGATAGAATGCTGACGGCAACACAAATGTCGGACCGGGTTGCATTAGCAACGTAGAGAAGTGAGCCAACAAGTTCGCGAAATGGCTTTTTCTCGTTCATCCTTGCGTGTTCGTCACTTGCACGCAGATCTTGCCCGACGACGCTCGGGTTTCGGACAGGGTGAGCCTCTGCTTGGCCAAATAGCTCAATGATTCGCGAAATGTATTGCGCCTGACAAACGAAAAGCTCTCCACGCTGCGTGTTGTAGCGAAGCTCCATTCCGAGAATAAAGCGAGCATCTCCAAGTGACTTGAGACGAAAACGCGCACCCAATGCCTCTGCAATACTCGACGCTTCTTCTTCGGCCGCACATCCGATAAGCAGATCATCGACATACAGGACGGCGAAAACGGGCCCATTGTGACGAACTCGAACGAACAGGCAGGGATCCGACTTGCACAGCTTGAACCCCAGGGCGATGAACACACTTCGAATGGTCTTGCGCCACACAGCAGCGGCTTGCCTCAAGCCATAGAGACTGCGACGAAGGCGACACACCATGCCTTCACGAACATTGAGACACTCAGGCGGCACCATGTACACTTCCTCTTCGAGGTCGCCGTTTAGAAAGGCCGTTTCAACATCGTACTGCTTCACCATGTATCCGAGCTGGCAGCACACCGCAAGAAAAATCCGCACCGTGTTGAGACTGGCAACAGGAGAGTAGGTAGATGTGTAGTCAACACCATACGTCTGGAAGCAACCGAGAGCAACTAAACGCGCCTTGTACCGGATAATGTTTCCGTGTTCATCTCGTTTAAGGGCAAAGACCCACCTGTGCCCGATCACACGAACACCGGGCGGACGGTAAACTAAATCCCAAGTGTGGTTGCGCACATGAGCTCGGATTTCAGCGCGACACGCCTCTTTCCACTTGTCCGAGTCCGCAGAACGCATCGCGTCACGGAACGAGTTGGGAATACTTTCCGAGGCAGCAAGAGCAATCTCGTACTCGTCGTCAATTCTCGGGCGCTTGCTGTCCGGCTCACCAATGCTTCCGTCCGAAGTGTAGCCATCTCCCGTCGCATCTTGTCCACTTATCGGATCGGTTTCGCCATTCTCCAGCAGCAGTCGTTCGGCTTCCCCAGTCTCTCTATTGCCTTCACTCGGTGGTAGCGCTGGCAATGCCGGGGTTCTTGCTTCTTGAGCACTTGTCAGCAGACGCGGTTGGTGGGGCGCCGAAATACGAACTTGACGAGGTCTAGTTGGGTCAAACACGAGTTGATCGCTCAGCGAGGTTTCGCCAGTGCGCATGGACGATGGAATCAGAGCTGATTGACGTAGAGAGGACTGGCTGGCGAGTTGTCGAGCAGCTGTAACGTTCGAGCTCGGCTCTGAAACTGGGATTAAAAGTGCTTCTCCCCCTCTGCGAGACATCTCACCTTCGCCACGGCGAACCAGTGCGTCTGGTACTGCATCGACTTCCATGTCGACGGGATCACCATCGACCTCGGTCATTTCAACGTCTCCGCTGTTGTCCGTCGCAGGCAAAACCGGTTCTTGTGGCTGCTGCGAGGTACTCACATCCTCGTCGAACTCCAACGGAGCCTGCCTTGTCACGTGAACCACAGTGCGATAGTTGTCAGCAGGACGCTCATCCAAGGTGATGGTCCTGGTAGTCACGATGCGCTCATCTTCAGCATCCCAAACGCGATAGGCCTTCGAGCCAGGAGCGTACCCGAGAAAGATGCATGCGTGAGCTCGGGCATCCCACTTGCTCGGACGTGACTTGTCAACGTGAACGTATCCTCTCGATCCGAAGACTCGCAGGTGGCTCAGGTCAGGCTTGTGTCCGGCGAAAACTTCATGGGGAGTAGTTTGAGGGCGAGCAGTGTTCGGTACGCGGTTCGTCAAATACACAGCCGTACTCAGAGCTTCACCCCACCACTCACGAGCCATTCCGCGGTGGTACAACATTGAGCGTGCCATCTCAACCAGCGTGCGGTTCATACGCTCAGCGAGACCGTTTTGCTGCGGAGTGTGAGGCGTGGAGGTCTGGTGCACGATCCCATGAGCCGCGAAAAAGTCCCCAAACCTCTTGTTCACATACTCTCCTCCGTTATCACTGCGCAAGCAGCGAATACGACGACCGGTCTGCGCTTCCACGAGCGCCTTGTACTCCACAAACCGAGCAAATACCTCCGACGTCGCCTTGATCAGATATATGTGCACGTAGCGAGAATAATCGTCGGCAAACGTCACTACGAAACGCGCTCCCCGTTTCGACTGAGGCTTCATTGGACCCAAGACGTCGGAGTGTACGAGGTCCAGCAATCCTGCGGTCTTCACACTACTGCCGGACTGTCTTGCGAACGGGCTCACAGTCATCTTGCCACACGAACAGCTAGCACAGGGTACGTCAACTGGGACATCATCATTTTGACCAAAGCTCGGAACGCCCTCCGCAGCGCGCGACACCAACATCATCTTCTTCTTCGACACATGCCCCAGCCGCTCGTGCCACAGGCTGCCAGGGGACAGCTCCGCCGATGCTGCAACGTCCTTACCGCGCTCCTCATCCGTCGTCGCCACCACGTTCCAGACAAATAATTTTTCCCCCTTCTCCACACGCGCAACCAATCTCCCTTCAAAACGGATAGTGCAGCCATTACCAGAGAACTCCACAGAAGCACCCTTGGCCACCAACGACGGAATCGACAGCAGTCTCCGGTCGAGGTCCGGAACATACAGTACTTCAGTCACCTTGATCAACCGGCCGCCGCTAATCAGGAAGCGCACAGTTCCCACTCCCATCGCACGTAGGCGTTGTCCGCTGCCTACTACAATATCCGTCGGGCTCTTCAGCTCTCGGAACTCCACGAAATCTTGCCGGCTGTGCGTCATGTGCGTGCTGGTCCCACTATCCAGCAGCCGTGCCGTCGATGCCTCCCTCGTCGCGGCGAGCACAAACTCATCTCCGTCGGCCTTCTTACTGAGCGTTGGGCACTCTGCACGCTTGTGGCCGAACTGGTTACATTCAAAGCATCGCCCATCAAACCTCGACGCTCCACGACCTCCACGTGGTTGGCGCTGCTGGCCACCACCACGACGGCTTCAGCAGGTCCTTCCTCGCGAGTGCCATGCGACAGTTGAATTCCCACAGGAAATAGTTGTCCTCGCGCAGCACGTCGTTAGGACCCAGCGTATTTGAGCTCATAACCAAAAACGACTTGAACTCTTCTTTTGCGATGCAGTGTAGAATGGAAAGTGAGATTGAATCAAAAGCTTTACCTACGAGACCTTAGCAGTTCGCTCTAGTTCCTACAATCTAGAGCCCTGACAAACTTGATCAGCACTTCGCGAAGCTTCGACGACCATCACTCTCTGCAACATGCAAGTTGCCCTTGTGTACAGCACATAATCTGTGACGTGGTGCTGCAGCTCAACAAGCGTTTGAGCAATGGAAGGGCAAGCAAAAGTTAACGCTTTAATTTTAACAATATAATAAATATATAGCTAAATTATACAGCGATAGCAACATTACCATTTGTGAGCTACCTATTTGCCGACTCCTAACGTATTCGCCCGAATATAAGCCCCCTCCCGAATATAAGCCTGCCGCAACAAATACCGGTAGTTAACGGTTTGTACATATACATACAAAATCCAAGATATTTTTTTAGAGCTGATATAATATCTGATAATTTCAAGCTTTTAGGCCTGTACTATAAAATAAAGTCCGGACTTTAATAGGGCGAGTATGTTAATTATGAGCGAGACGCTCTTTCACTAAGAAGAAATTCCATATTAGTGACAAGATCGTATCCTGCTCGCGTAGTATTACATCTAAGACCTCGCGCGCGAAGCGTGCTACTGAACATTGATCAGTGCTGAGAGACCTCGCGCGCGAAGCGTGCTGCTGTTCCATCTTTGAATGCGTAATTAAAGTTGCTAACTAGAAATTTGCAATATGAATTTTGCAACTTTCGGATTTGATTGCACGTCGGTACGAAGTAGGCCGCACAAAGGTGTAGTGCCGTCGCTTGTACTCCAACGTCCGGTAGCTTGGTGAGCTTGCCGCGTTATGATAAGTCGGTGAGCTTGCCGTGTTATGGTAACTCGGTAAATCTGGTAAATCTACCATTTTATGGTAACTCGGTATTCATATGGGAACTCGAATGCCATATGTTATAAAGTTTCGCAGATAGTGCTCTTTTTGTTTCACCTTGTTTGAGCCACTGGCAGCAATGGCGCCGAAAAAACATACGTGGAGACGCACCTGCCGATGGATGAGGACAGCATCTCAGGTAAATGGATCGAAGCCGCCATGTCCAAGGCGGAGAATTCTGTTACTCGTGTCACAGGACAGGAGTCTTGTGTCAGCTCTGGGCTCCAGAAGCAAGAGGCAGTAAGAAGTGTACTTAGTGTGGGTAAATTTCCCGAAATTTAATGCTAGTGTTTGTATGCCCGTAGTGAAACTAATACTTAAGTACTATTTTCTTGTCAAAATTTGAGGGTTTTAATTAGTGTGGGCCATACTACGACGCTATTAGAGCAATCCCACCCGTTTGAACAAAAAACCAAAACTAAAAGCGAACTTAGCTTAGGTTCGTGAAAGTATTAGTTTTCAAGTCGAACAAAACCAAAACAAAACCTCAACAAAACTAAATTTGCTGCACATACAAAAACCAAGATAAATGAAGCGTCGCTACTATCCTGCAGCTATCCCGCAGCTATATTTGACCGTGCTTTAGCTCCAGATGGACGTTTTCTAACACTTCTGAAGGGTCGCCCTCCTTAACTTTTTTGGCTCACCCAGTCTGCAGATTTGACTTTAGTTTTGTTCAAACGGGTGGGATTGCTCTTAGCGAACCCACACTAATTACACTTCTTGCTGCAGCAGAAGTAGGTGAGACGGACCTAGAGCTGATATCGTGTTGGGCGAACCTCTGTGAGGCACGGTTCACGGAGTATTGGGGTGTATTGACTACACATCTACAATACTCTGTTGGTGATCAATTTTATAGTTCTGTGAGCCACAGTATCCGCCTGCATTTTGAGCGTTTCCGTTTGGTCCTAAAAAATACGAGCCGTGTGTCTTGTCTACAAAACGGTCTGCTGAAATACGATTCCGCCGGGCAGGCTCCGTGTCGAGCAGCAGCGGCGGCTCCTGCTGCTACCTCCACGTGTCTGTGGCAAGGACCTCTTCTTCAGAAACACTAACGGCGTGGGGGGATACTGCTCGTCTTTCTACTAATTTGGGCCATCATCATAGTTACAATTATTTCTCGGGGTCATTACCAAAGTTTTACTAAGTTTCCATGTGGCAGTACGCGACCAGCGCGAATGGAGATCTGACTGGAGATATCCTGGAGATCTCCAGGTGGGAAATAACGCGACTGGGCCCTTACGTACTTGGTCGAGGTAATGACAAATTACGTGATCCAGGTCAAGTTTTCATTTGCTGCACGCCTTGCAAGCCAAAACACAGCATAAAAATTAGTAAATAGGTGAAGCGGCTAGTATTATTCCGCTATTTCGCCTCCGCGTCGACCTTCCAGGCGTTTTCTAGCTGCGTTTACTAATTTGAAGGCGTCAGCGTCTCCGTCGTGAAATGACGGGGACGTGAGAACGGAAGTGCTGGATGCTTCAGACGATAACCCCAACGAAGAGAGAGAGGACAATGGTCGAACTGCGTGTGCTGCAAAGTCGCCAGCGGAAGATTCGACGTCACCGAAATCGCTGAGCTCTTCGAGGAGGTCGTCGTACAGTTGTCCGTTGAAAGCTGGGAACCCGTCATTAGCATTTCTTGCAACCGGATTGACGTGTTTCCGCGGTGGCAGTGGTGCCTGGATCACTTGGCGTCGTTGAGTCTTGTTCATGTCTTCGTTGACCTCTGAGTTCTTTCTTAGCATACCCTTGGCTCGGACAGCTTTCCAGTACTGCTCCGGCTCCGTGGCGCTAGCAGCTCCATCACTAATATAATAAAAATACACACATTAGGCCCGAGCATTTGTAAGCAGCAGAATGCGTTTTAGGATACTCACTTCAATGTCCAAATGTTCTCGATCGAGCGCTGGAAGAGCTGCGTCTGGAATAAATGAGTGCAGAATTCCCGTAGACTCGGGTGCATCGCAAGGAAACTGCGTTCGTCAAAATACACAGACTCGCTGGTGCTTCCCGATGTCGTTGGCGCTGGAACTCTAGAGCAGTGTTTGCGGATCTCTTTGAGGAGTCTGTGGCATGCGATGGTGAGTCAATAGCAAGTTTCTAGATCCACGCGCGGGTGTGAACTTACCTCGTAGCGAACGACGAAAAGAGCGTTTGTATCTCTCCCCACTTCTCGGTGAGATCTTCATGCCGGCCGACGACCTGGCTCACTTCGGCATCAGAAGGCTGGGAGGGTTCGAAAGTAGCCGAAACCGGCCGCTCGCTGCCTGTGAGGCCACGCCCAAAGCTGTATCTAGTTCGCTGACTTGCTGGCCAAATCGAGAGTTTGCGCAGAGCGTGCAGCAGCTTCCGCGACTTGACGTCTGTAAGCATTGGGAGCTCCTCGTTTGGGGGCAACCGAATATCGTTGTTGTCCAAATCAACCAAAATGACTCCCTCGGCCATCAAACGTTCAAGTCGCTGGTCAGACCGGATGCCCATAAAGAATGGCACGGGTGCGCAGATGAACTCGACCAAAGACTGTAAGAAACAACAGGATATCACGTTAGGACGCTAAAATACAATATCGCCACGAGCGTACATACCAGTGGAAGGAGTGGGATGTAGACTTGCTGGCACTCAAAAGGATGCAGCAGGGCTCGCAGCGTCTCGGCAACGTGGGTCAGTATTGGACGATTGGTTGAGCTCAGAACGACCTTCTTCTCCGTCAGCAAGTAGCCGTAGACCTAAGAAAAACAAAAACAAGTTCGAATGTCAGAGTGAGTTTGCGTAAGGAAATCTCCACCTAAGTGTACGGTACCTTTAGAATATTGTCTGGATTAAGGCACTGGAACAGAATCGTGAAGTCCACTTCCGTAGGCGAATAAAATGGCAAGTTTCGTGGGAATCCCGACAACAAACAAGTCGTGTCGCCCAACTTGAACGCCGTCCGTGTTGCATTAGCTGTCGGTAGAGGTGTTCGCTCAAGAAAGTTGAACACGATCGACTCGAGGGGAATACTGGTAGAACTTGCGAGTGAAAGTCGGTAGAGATACACCAAAAAGGTGCGGAAGGTCTGGAAAAGCGGAGTGCTGGATAGCACACAGAGACACTTTGGCGCATAGCACTTCCACTTGGTTTGGCCTTGTTGAATGTCCTTCAGGCTCACCCAAGACGGTAGATTGGCCGTTCTTCCCTTTTGCGTCGCCGATATCAGAGAAAGCACATCCATGGGGTGCTTCTCTTCACAGAAATGCAAGCATGAGCCATACGAGCGAAGCCCCTTGATATCTGAAAGAAATCGTCAGCAATACTGTTAGCTCGGTAAGGTATGGCTTTGAAAATAATGCACGCACCAGTGAGCACAATATCAAAAGTCCTCGGAGAGAATGGCTCGGTACTGAGATAGATGTCGTCAGGGAAGCAGAATTTCGATAGCTCTTCGGGTAAACTAGCTCGCGAAGGCAGCATGTCAATAACCTCGGGCTCCAGTCTAATATCTGTCGGAGAGGTTGTGTCGACACCAGCAGCTTGGGTCATTTTCCCGCCTAAGACAACGATACAATCTGCAACCCCTGTGCGCTTTGCTCGCAGCCGGTTTCGCTCGCTCGGGGAGCTCGTTGACGCTTTGCGCTGCACGGTGGAAAAGAACAGTTAGCAGATCTTTTACGAAAGTTTCAAAGTGAAGGCGAGTAAGCACCTACAGTTCCTGACGAAGATTTCACGCTTGAATGTTTTCGTGGGTATACACAGTCGCCTGAAAAGATGGAGACATTATGAGCCCCAGTATGCTTTGCCGTGAGAAGATCGATGATCTTGCAGAATGCAACGGGATCTGTTCAACAAAGCAAGGTCAGAACGTAAGCATTTACGCAAAATTTGCTATAGCAACTATTGCACCTGCTTCCCCCAGCCAACAGAAGTACTGGAGGACCCCTCGTTCAGTGAGTCCCCCGTCTTGATGGTCAAAGTTATCGAGTAACCACTGCAGCGACTCAGTAGAGACAGCGCTGTGTCCGCAGGCCTTGCTCAGAAGGGTGGCTTCAGGCTGGAAAAGGACCCCCTTTTTATCGGAATCAAACTCGCTAAACGCGGCAGCGAGCACAAATCGATAAAACGGAGCGATAATATCTTCTTGTTCTTGTTGGCCATCTCGTGGTACCCCCTCAGTTTGAGCCGCTGCCTGGTTTTCAGCGATAAAGAATTTACGTCGGGCTGCTAAAATCGCTCGAATGTAGTTGCGCTTTTCAACTAGAATGTTGGGCTCCACAACATAATCCTGGGCTTGTTCACACGCGTCGAGATTCTTTAACACATTCTCAAGCAATTGTTTCTCACTGTCAGAGCCTCGCGTAAGATGAGTCGCTAGTTTGAACTGCACCATCGCCAAGTTATGGTGAATTCGACTTCGTGAAAAATTCAGTCCCCCCTTCGAGAGTTGTAACAGGAACCGATACATTTTCTTGGCCTCCCAGTAAAACTCGCCAGGTGCTGAAGCTTTTGACAGAACCATCGCACTAGTAAAAAATACGTCGCTGGTTGTGACTCTCTCGTCGACTGGCTTGGTTTCCTCAAACTGGCAGCACACGTTGTAATCGATAGCAACCTTTTTGCTGTGTGCTATCACGTCAGCGTAGGCAGCCAGACAATTTGCACGCAGGTAGAGGCAGTAAAGGTACCTATCGTAGAGAGCACTAGCTGTCCAGTCTTCATAGTCCTCTCCAGTGTCCCCTCCACAGCTCCCAGCGCTTGATGCATCATCGTCACTTCCACCGCGAGGATCATTCTCTCTCGCGGCAGTAACCAGATCGCTTAGCTCTTCACTAGCCTGTGCCAGTTTCCCAGACGCAAGCGATAGTGTCTCCATGGCCAAATCCAGAGTAAACGACGTAGATTCATCACTCCACAAGTCGGAAGTTGCCGTGTACACGCGAGCGTTTGTGACGTAAAAGAGCTCTTCGTAGCTGTACACCTTGGTGGTGCTTTTGAGCACTTGCGACGCGAAGACAAACAGTGAGCGACCGAAGCGAGAGAGGAATTTGGCACGAAGGTGCGAAGATCCCTCGACGTGGTTGATGATGTCTGAGTACTTTTCACCTGCTGAGACCCAGACGTCAAGCATATGCGGGACTGTGTCGGGGCTATCGGGGCGTTTTGATAGTGCATGACGTTGCAGCTCACCTGCTAGAAAGGCATAGATTTCATCTGCTTCATTCGACAAGGCGTTCAATTGCTCCAGCTCGCATTTTCTCTGCTCGATCAGCACTTGAGGATCGAGTTGACGGGCCGACTGACGCTGCATGGGAGAACTTGTACTCGACTCACTATCATACGCAGAGTTTTCAGCGTTGGCATTGTCAGTTGAATCCAAGTTCCACGAAAATTCGGTGTCAAACTCGGTATCGTCTTGCTTAGATCGATCTTGCTCTTGGTTAGTGCTTGGAGGCTGGGCTGCCACTGCATATTGCACCCTACGCGTCCGTAGTAGCGGAGCACAAGTTCCCTGGTAATCCGTCAGCGAGTCTTCTCGGTGCATTTTGTTGAATTCCAGCAGGAAATACACGCGCGCTCGGTTGAATTCGACGTTTTTCTTCATCAGGGCGCCGCTTTTAGCTCCCAAATTGTTGGACATGTGATGGAGTAGAGCTTTCAAGCACTGGACACCAAGCTTGCTAGACAGGACCACATTATTACAGTTCGGACTCATCTTCTCCTTCGCCTTCACGAGACGAGGGACCGCTACGAGGGCGATGTATCCGATGACGTCGATCATCTTGGCACACGGGATCTCCAGCGTCACTTCTCCTAAGCTAGAGAGAACGTTGCTTGGAGAAGTTTCCTCTTTGGCGGGGGAATACTCAGGTCCTTGGCTGTTTAACTCAAAGCCGTTCAGTCCACCCTTATCGTATCCTTGCTCTTTGCGACAGAAGCGCATGAAGACCTTGCATACCTCGATGGAGGACATCGGGATGGTCACAGGCATCACATCGCGCACAAATTTGCTGAATTCGTGGTATCCAAGCACACACCGGCGGTGAGCTAGACCAACATTGGCACTGTATGAAGTCGCCAAGTCCCCAATTGACCTCGTGAACCGCTGCGCGACCCATTTCACCTTTTCGCGCTCAACGAGCGCGTCAATTTGAGCCCACGACAACGTATCTGACCCCACCGCGTGTTGCTCCGTTTCGTGGTAGGGTATCACATGCTCAGTTGCCAGTTTTTCCAGTGCCAACTCCTTCGACTGCTCCTTGGGGTACATGAAGCACGCCACGTCAACGAGTGCGTCCAGAAACTCGTCGAAACTCGCCCCCGCACCCCCGTCGCCACTACTGCTAGGATTCGACTGGGCTCCTCTGAAGGCCAATGTCACCCGTTTATCAAATAAAAGCTTCTTCTTCTGCTGGTACACTCTCTTCGCCGTGGCTTTCTGCAACAACTGCTTGAACTGGTAACTCGTGATTCGAAGCGTGCTGCTCTGCCGGTTCTGTAGAGCATTAAAGACGAACAGATCGTAGAGCTGGTCGTGAATCCAGAATGGGTCCGTCGTATTCGCGCTGCAAGACGAGCTTTTATCTATCAAGGGGACGACACGCTCGCGTCTTCGGAGAGTCAAGACGGCGGGGTCGAAATGCGAAAACTCCAACGGTTTATCGTCGTCTAAGACGCTGCCAAGCGGGTCACAGAGCTCGTACTTGCTGGTTTTGAGCTGCCAGTAGCGACCGACGTCATGCTTCAGCTGCCCCACAGAGTAGTCGAACGGGACCCAGCCAGCATACTTCCGCTGTCTGGACGACTTGGAGCCATCCTGTTGAGTCCTTGGCTGCTCAGCTTCGGTAGGAACCACAACCACATTCACTCGGCTCATTCCAATGCCCTCAACAACAAAAGCAAATTAATTCTCAGCGCGAGCTTCCAGTTCAAGGTGGTAGGGCGAGCGAACAGTCCAACAACTATTTTCTACTGGCTGTGTGCACGAAACTGCCCTATTGATGCCAAAAGGGAAACGAAGCTGCGATGCCCAAAGTGCCAGCGAGCAAGAAGAAAGCCGTAGCACGCTCACTATGGGCGGACCTTGCAGCAGAGACGTCATGTGAGCACAACTAAAAGCAACGGAATCGTTGATTATTTACTATTTGATTCATCAGTAATAATCTCACACGTTGAAACTTTTTACAGTCCCCGTCTCGGCTCTGGAAGTGCTTGAAGAGCACCACGCCACCCTCAATACTTTCTGTGCGAACGCGTACATTCCTGAAACGTGAGTCGAATCTGGGCACTCGTGAGTCTAAGCACTCAGTAACATAATTACCATTCTTTTGGTTTTGCATACAGACAAATCGATCGTGAAGAGGGACCAAACGTGAGTTTGGAGCTCTCCTTCCATCAATACAGCGTCGCGCTTAGCACATTGATTCAATACGGATCGGCGGCACAGCAGTACGGGTGTAAGTATTTCCACACTTCGGTATTTCCTTCATTGAACCTCTTACAGATACTGGCTTTCCGTTTTCTGGTTAGACCTGCACCACACGTACGCAACGACAAGTGAGCGCGGCATCGACCGATCCGAGATGTTTCAGCTGCTCAAGGACCACTCCGAACGAGTCACGAACATCGTCACGAAGGACGACAAACTTCTGCAAGTCACCGACCCTCGACACTTCGACAAGCTGTACACGTGGCTAAAGAAGCATTTCATTCTGTACGACGAGGCTAGGACCGGCTATCTACCCGAAAACCTGGTGCTTGAAATGCTACAAGCTCATCCCACTGCGCTTTCGCACCTAAAATTCCAACTTGCACCGTTCATCAAGAAGGTGAAGGAGAACAACGCTCGCTACGCCGAGCAAAAAGCGGCTGCAGCACGCCATTCCGATTGATCTGTGCTCTTTCTTTAATCTGAAAATATAGCTAGTAGTCAGCTGCATCGTCCATCGGGCGTTGAGTTGATCCCTTTTTCGCTTGAGCAATCTTCCTCCGCAGCTCGTCGCTTAGAGATTGCAGCGGCCGAAGTCTTCACCGCTGAAATCCGTATGATTGTGGCCCTTAAACCCTCCATACTTACCGTAGGGAGACTCGCGGTTTTTGGTTACCTTATCCCAAGGGTTCACACTGGTTTGTTTTTGCCACCGTACAAAGAGCTGAGAGACAACGACAGCGACCATCACGACACCCGCGTAGATGACTACAGTCCACTGGAACTCGGACGACTCGCTTTCATCCGGGAGAAGGCTGTGGAAGAGAATTAACTTGGCTTGGTCACCAGCTCCAGCAGTGACGAAGGCAAGGGTAGATCCAATAACCCCCTCCGAGAATGCCACCACTGGTGATAATGCTTGGTCCCTTGGTTCACCTGAAACGAAGATGATATATTGGTGGCTTGTGCACAATTGAGAGAGAGAGACCCCCGTCTTTTGTGATTTTGACACGTTGAAGACTGCGATATCGTGAGGTCCGGTGGCGATGACATACCTCTTGGTAACTGCTAGCGCTAGAGGAGTTTGAACGCGACGGCTTGACGTGACAGTATGTCGAGAAAGTAATCGACACGCTTGACTGTCACTAGACGCGCCAGCATTCACAATGTACACGAGGACCTCCCCTCGCTCGGTGCCAGCGTACATTATTTCAGGGTGTACCGCGTCAAACGCAATGGACGATATTTTCGCTGATGAACCTGGGCAGGAGTGGAAGACGGATCCTTGAGCTCGAGTCATCGAGGAAATGATGACTCTCGTTCCATCGCTGAATGCCAAAAGGTTCCTGTTGGTTTCCATGGCTGCAATCGAAGCATTTGTCTGGATTTGGCGCAACATCGTGCCGTTCAGAGCGAAAAAATCGATGATCCCATTTGCCTCCGCGACTGCCAGTATAAGTTGGCGAGAGGATCGTGCGAGAGCTACTGCCGAGGCCTTGGATGATATCTGGATATCGCGATGGTCGCTGACAGTTAGCAAAAACTCGGAACCAACCGAGACAGTTAAAGTTGAGGGCGGATTCGATTTCGTTTTCTCCTCTTCGCTTCCGATGACCCCTCCAGCAGCATTCTTCTCCTCAATATTCAGCTCGTAAATTGCGACTACTGCAGTTTCATACGTCACAACGAGGCACGGCTGTAGTATATCCTGAGTCTCGAGCGCAATGGTCTTGACTCCTTGCCTCCCTGTATCGATTCTCAGCAGCTCCACCTCCTCGGACGTGTAGAACACTACCAGTCCATCCGTACACGCGACTGCAATGAGCTCCGTCGCGCTTGACGCTCGCAGCTTCATCATCTTCATATCAGCAACTCGTCCCTCCAACGCGATCTCCGCTCTCTCGACAAAGTACGTGTTAAAGTCCTTGGCCGCCGACTCCGCCACAGATTCCGCTACAGCCACGTCCAGCCTCCTCTCAATCACGTCCCGAATATCAACTCGACTCTTCCTCTTCACCACCTCTTCTGCTTCCTCGACCTCTTTAACCTTCTCGTGCTCTTGCAACCAAAGTTCGCGCATTTGCTCGAGCACCTGCAGCTTCTTCTCCTGCAGCGTCACCATCTGCTGCACCGTCGCCAATTCTTGCTGCAACATCGCCATCACAGCCACCACGTCGCTCTGCTGCTGCAACTGCGTTGCATCCTTCATCTCCATTGGCTTTGCACCAGTTCCAAGCTCTTGTTGCATGGGAACAGGGTTGTTATCCTGTTGGTCACTTGTCATTGTCTCCAGTGGGCGGTTCTCGTCGATTACGGAGCCGTCGGGGCCTAGAGCGACCTCAACATCGCTCGCTCCAAGTGCAAACACATCGTACGACACATTACACAGTGCCAGAAGCAACAGCACTCGGAGGAACACGCTCATATCGGCGTGCAGTCGTGCCAGCCTAACTGCTCCCGCGTCGCCTTAAGATCGGATCTATACTAAGTACGATTGGTGAGTGATGGTTACTTTGAATTTTGGCGGGAGAGTGTACACTCTGTGGCACACCTCCACCTATCGGTGGTAGTAGCCTTCGCAAAAAGTTTGCCGTTTGTGCGTCAGAGACGAAAGACTGGCAAAAGAGGTTCGACCTTGTTACGCGCGGCTCGCGACATTCTTACCAGGCACCCCCAGAGCACAGCGGGCGACGTCACGATGAACGGCCAGTACCAGGAGGAGGAGCATGGCATGGGTGTGGAGGAGCACGAGATGGTACGCTAGCGAGAGAGAGAGGCTGTTGCCCGTTTAGCACCACCTAACCTGTTGCTAAGGACTTTTGTATGGATAAGTGCAACATTCTCTAACCGAGGGGCGATTGCGTATTTATGATTTTTTTAAATTTATTCAGCAAGGCCCGCGGCTCGTGAACATCCTGGAGCAGGCTGGCATCAACGCCACGGACGTCAACAAGCTCAAGGAGGCGGGCATGCACACGGTGGACGCCGTGGCCATGGCCACCAAGAAGCAGCTCGTGGGGATCAAGGGAATAAGTGAAGTCAAGGCCGAGAAAATGCTCAAAGCGGCACGGGAGATGGTCAACGTGGGCTTCACAACGGTGCGGAGTTTTCCCTGCCCAATGCTGGCCCGGCGAAGCCCATGCCATTTTTTTCTAATGAGCATGTTTATGTATTTTTACAGGCTGCCGATGTTTTGGAGAGCAGAAAAGATTTAATCACGCTGTCGACGGGCTCTAATGCTGTGGACGAGCTGCTGAAAGGTTCGTCGTGGTCAAAGCTTGATTGTGTTTACGCTGAAGTTGTCGTGAAAGTCATATCATTTTTATTATTATTAAATTTGATGGTAGGTGGCATTGAGACGGGATCGATTACAGAGTTGTTTGGAGAGTTCCGCACGGGCAAGACGCAGCTGTGCCACCAGCTCTGCGTGACGTGCCAGTTGCCCGTGGATCGTGGTGGAGGCGAGGGCAAGGCGCTGTACATTGACACGGAAGGTACCTTCCGTCCGCAGAGGCTGCAGGCGATTGCGGAGAGGTATGGTCTTGATGGCGACAGCGTGCTGGATAATGTCGCGTTCGCGCGCGCGTACAACTCAGAGCACCAGATGCAGCTGCTGGTGCAGGCTTCGGCCATGATGGCCGAGTCTCGGTTCGCGCTGGTGATTGTGGATAGTGCCACTGCGTTGTTCCGAACAGACTACTCGGGCCGTGGAGAGTTAGCTGCAAGACAGCAGGAACTGGCGAAGTATGTTGTATGTTGTTCACTCTATGATGTTCTGGTGTAGCTAACAGGCATTTGTCTACGTGATTGCAGATTCCTGCGTGCACTCACACGAATGGCGGACGAGTTCGGAGTTGCAGTTGTCATCACCAACCAGGTTCGCTTATGTTGCTAACGACTGAATTTGAGTGTACTTCACAGCACAGCCACTTAACCTGTGCTGATGCGTTCGTTTAATAGATGACAGCAAATCCGGATTCCGGTATGTTCGCTAAGGACCCGCTCCAGCCCATTGGTGGCAATATCATGGCGCACGCATCCTGTACCAGGTATGTATTACCGATGCTACATCGCCATGAAACGATGTTGTGACTAAACCTCGTCGTTTTCTGCAGACTTCGCCTTAAGAAGGGCCGCGGAGAGAACCGTGTCATGAAGGTCGTGGACTCGCCTATCCTCCCTGAATCGGAGGCCATCTACTCCATCACCGAGCAAGGAATTCAGGATGAGCTGAACTAGCGGCAATACACAAGAGACCTTCAATTGGACTTCAAAGCAAAAATGTGAATGAATTGCACACCAAGTGTTGTCTAGTGGGGCTCCTCCCTACAAGCCCATTTGTCATTGGCTGAAAGAAGATGAAAAGCAAAACAAGACATGGATATCTCCTTCTTGCTGCTCCTGTGTAACAAGACCAACAAGCACAGCCTAACATTGTGGACCTGTTTCTCGGTTGGGCATTGTACCATTCACCACGAACCGGATATCTTCAGTCTGAAGGCTTAAGACTCGTCAGATGCACTGAAACGGTAAATTGAGCGTGCCTTTTCCTCCTCTTACTGAAGCGAAGACCAATCAGTACTGTACATGTACTGTATGGTTTCGAGTCGATTGCTGCACGATCAGCTCAGCATGTACACTGCCGTCGGTAGCATCAACTTCGCTTGCGTATTACGACAGTTTGCTAGAGCAGGGGTTCACTTGATCTTTCCTCTTCGCGACGGTGATGCATGATGCGTGAAGCTGTAAGCTATTGTACACGCGCATATGCATGAATTAATGTGCTGGTGTACGTGTAACTTACAGTCTTGGCACAGGTATTACAGTACATATGTAATGTGTCTGCTCAAAGAACGCCTGATATAGTGTATATTGAATGAGAGGTTTGCCTTGTCACATGCATCTGTCGTATTTACTGATTTAATATACAAACGTATGCCCATCTCTCTTATTGTGAATTCTGGCCAATATTGCCGATTCGGGCCGGTTTACCATATGGGTTGAAATCGCTGAATACAAATTTCAAGTCTTTTGGAATCGACCGAGACGGTTCTTATTTCGTACTTTATTGCGTACATAGTAAACTCAAGTCAAATCAAAATCTCGGGCGGTTTGCTGGCGATTTGGCTCGGTCGATTCAATCAATCGACTTCGGAAAGTTCGACTAGAACGCGCAATATTTATGACCTCTGATTGGATGTATTCTAATATTGATGTGCTGATTTGCTGTTAGTGACACTAGACCAGTATCCTGGACTGATATGCGTACGCATAGTGGAATTATTTCTTCTTGCATCTTATAGGATTTCACCCGTTCTTTAAAGAGACACCTTACTGTACACCCCGTGTGCTTCAACCAGCTGCTGGCAAAGCACCCGTGATTTCCCTCCGAAAGGATCATTTCCCTGTGTGGTCCGCTCGATGTTCGGTGCGTGCCACGCACCGGTGACGCCCACGCAGTGCGTGGGCGTCACCGCATATTGTGGTGATAAGCCACATTTGGAACTTCTACCCAAGCTGATACCACCACCAACGAGTTGACAGGAGTCTCTTTAAAAGCAAACATAAAGTATTAACACGCGGTATCCCAGCCTGCCCGCACCCCCAGATGACAAGCCCTATGATCGAGAGCTCAGATTGAGCTGAAATTTGGCACATAGTGTGCTGACAGCATAAAAATATGTACTCTGAAGTTTCGCCTTCGTAGCGCAAATAGAAGGTATGAATGAGCAAGGAACTACGAAATCTGCCGAAATGTGTAAATGAAATGTGCCTTTTCTGTCCATTATGGCTACATTATATTTTTTTTATGCCCACAATGCACGGGTTATGGTCAAAATGTCATACATTGATTGCGATACCCGTCGACGAAGGGCCTCATTGACGAGACACATATCATGCCTCGCCTCTTTGATCCATCGTATCTCATCCATTTTCAGTGCTGCGAGTCTACAAAGGCTGCATCCACCATTTCTTGATCGGGTCTTTCCTTTGAACTCTAAGCTAGACCAATTTAGGTTGTTTTAAAAATGTTGGAAATTTACACTTGCCATCCAAAAAGTGCGAAAAGATGCGGGTTGTTACAGAGACAGGGTGTTAAAATACACGTTATCCGTTTAGTTCACAAGTAAATACAGTAACGATTAAAACGTGCGCGGGCTGAATTATCACGAAACCTGGACTCGAGTCACGACCTTGTCAAGGTCCTTGCATTCGCTTCCGGCTCGATGCCCGTCGCAGTCGTAGACGGCGCTGCGTTTCTTGTGCCCGCTGAAGTACTGTATGTACCCTCACTTCCGACATCGGTTTTACTATCGGATTTAAAGGGGGATTGTATTTGCTTGGTTTAAGCTGTATTTTGGCTCATAGAGGTCAAGCTCATCATGGTCGCAGATGCATTGAGAGGCAAGACTACATGTATGGATAGCACCAGCAGTGCGAGACGAGTTTAGCGCACATCGTACCGCAGATTACCTCGCTCCATTGCATTGGCGTTAGCTGGTCTATGTAGGCCTTCTCCAAAAGCTCCGTCCGTGGGCGGCTGCAGGCTCAGCGCGCCGAACTCGACTCAGCTCCAGCCCCAGTAGCATGGGCTAAGATATAGCGCAGGCACTTCGCGCTTGAGCGCTCCGTTTCGCTGTACGAGGCACTGTCGGCGCACGTGCTGGACGCGTCCACAGGACGTACGTTTCCTGGGTGGCGTCGAGCAGCTTTTTCCTATCCGCGGCGGCGCTGCTCTTCGCCTTCGTCCCGCGAGAGGTCTACCAGGAGCTGGCGGGGTGCCACACCCAGCAGTAGCAGCAGCAGCAGCAGCAGCGCAGAATTCTTCTTGCGTCATCGCCGTGTCTTCATCATGCTTCTTCACACTTGCCCCCGATGCTCCTCACTGCTGCCTGCCAAAATGATGGTTTTGGCGCGAAAACCTCGTAACGATCATAATATATTAGCTAGGTCTTCTGCAACCTTATAAATATAAACACATTAACTCTCAGAAGTAATAAGGAGTATTAGGTGTCGGAAGTGAGGGTACCTAGTAGCCGGGGGGCAGTAGCTTGCGTGGTTGAAGTTAGTGACGTATTGCTTGAAGCAGATAGGCAAGTCGCGCGTGGGGATTGGGAAGACCTGCAGATTAATCCGCAGCGCGGCAACCCCGTCCAGTGATCGGTCATTCCCCAATTTCCAGTCGACCGCAACGCCAGTTCACCCGACAGAGAGAGAGAAGGACAAGAATGCTCATGTCGTGGTTCTCCGCCGTGTGCTGTCTGGCCATGGGCCTCGCCGCCCACCAGAGCGCTCCGCTCGTCTCCGCCGACCAATGGGACGCCCAGACCGATGTGATCATCGAGAGCATGGACGAAGACCAGCTCGTGGGTCAGATGGTTCAGGTGGCCTTCTCGCGCTTCTTCAACGCGTCCAAGACATTCGACGAGGACAAGTTCCGCGCCTACGCCAAGCTCAAGATCGGCTCGTACCTCAGCGGCCCGTGGCAGTCCGGATCGTACAATGGCAAGTACGCTTGGACGGCCCAGGAGTGGCGCGACGTGCTGTCGAGGGCCCAGGAGATCGTCAAGGAGGAGAACGACGGTCACCCGTTCATCTTCGGCATCGACTCGCTGCACGGCGCCGGCTTCACCTCGGGTGCTGTGCTCTTCGGCCAGCCCATCAACGGTGCGGCCACGTTCAACCCCGACCTCATCTATGACATGGGCCGCATTGCTGGCCGTGACACGCTCGCTGCCGGCACCCCCTGGATCTTCGGCCCCATGCTCGAGATCTCGCAGAACCCGCTGTGGCCGCGTGTGTACGAGACGTTCGGAGAGGACCCGTACCTGGTGTCGGTCATCGCCGAGTCGCTCATCAAGGGCATCCAGTCCAACAACGGCTCTGCGGCCTGCATGAAGCACTGGATCGGCTACTCCAAGACGCCCACGGGCCACGACAAGGACGGTGTCACGCTGTCCGATTACGACCTGCTGAACTACTTCCTGCCGCCGTTCAAGGCCGCGGTGGACGCCGGCGTTCTGTCAGCGATGGAGAACTACATCTCCGTGAACGGCATCCCCACGATCGCCAACCCCAAGCTCATGAATAAGCTGCTGCGTGAGGACTTGGGCTTCGAGGGCATGACTGTATCCGATTTCGCAGAAATTGAGCACCTCAACACGTTCCACCGCTTTGCGCGCAACGACGAGGAGGCTGCCACGCTGTCCGTCAAGCGCACGTCCATCGACATGACGATGGCCAGCAGCGACTACGGCTTCATCAACGCCACCAAGGCGCTGATCGCGAACGATCTGTCTTTCCTCAACCGCGTCAAGGAGTCTGCTCGTCGTGTGGTCAAGCTCAAACTGCAGCTTGGCCTGTACGACAACGCCGTCCCTGGCGCGGACCTCGTGGATCAGGTCGGCAACGACGAGGACAAGGCCGCGGCTTTGAACTCGGCGCGCGAGTCCATCGTGCTGCTGCAGAACAACGACAGCGTGCTGCCGATCCCCGAGACGGCCAAGGTTTTCCTCACGGGCCACTCGGCCGACAACGTCGGCTACCAGTGCGGCGGCTGGTCGCTCAGCCAGCAGGGCTACTCGGGCAACGACATGTTCCCGAACGGTATCAGCGTCAAGGACGGCTTCCAGGCCATCGCCAACGAGACCGTGACCTACTTCAACGGACTCAACTACACGGGCACCTACAACGAGAGCGATCTGGCCCATGCCAAGGAGCTGGCCAGCCAGGCCGAGTACACCATCGCTGTCATCGGCGAGCACTCGTACACGGAGAAGACGTACGGCGACATCAACGACCTGGCCCTGCCTGCCGGCCAGATCGAGTACGTGACGGAGCTGGCCTCGACCGGCACCAAGGTTATTGCCGTGCTTGTCGGTGGCCGCCCGCGTCTCCTTGGTGAGCTGCCCAGCAACGTCCACGCCGTGGTCAACGCCATGCTGCCCTGCGAGCTCGGTGGCCAGGCCATCGCTGAGATCATCTACGGCCGCGTGAACCCCAGCGGCCGCATGCCGATCACGTACCCGAAAGACGCCGGCAACATCCTCATGCCGTACAACCACCGCGTGAGCACCCAGTGCGCATCGGGAGATTACTGCGAGATGCAGTGGGAGTTCGGCCACGGCCTGAGCTACACGGAGTTCACGTACTCGGACATGACGCTGAGCCGCACCAACGTCACGTCCGTCACGGAGACGGTCGACGTGTCTGTGGTCGTCAAGAACTCGGGCTCCGTGGCCGGCAAGGAGACGGTCATGCTGTTCCTCACGCAGCCGTTCCGCACCATCTCGGTCCCGGAGGTCAAGCAGCTCAAGAAGTTCACCAAGGTCGAGCTGCAGGCCGGCGAGTCCACCACCGTCAACTTCACGCTGTCCACCGACGACTGGAGCGTGTACTACCCACAGATCGGCAACGGCCTCAAGAAGGTGGCGGAGGACGCTGACTACGTGATCGCCATCAAGCCCGAGACGGACTGCGACGTGTACAACGAGACGGCGGTTGCCAACCCGCTGTGCGCTACCTTCACTCTCCAGACGGGCGAGCACCCGTACGGATCGTTCGAGTAAGCAGCATGTTTCAATGCTGTCTGCAAAAAGTGATCGTATGAACATCTCAAATCTTGTCAATAAAAAATATACTTTTTGTGTTTCAATATCGCCTACGTGGTCGCCCGAAATGAAACAAGTCGGCACTGGTTACAGTAGACATAAGCCGTGAAGCCATCATTCAGTGACGTGATGAATCCAACACAGCACATCAGCAAATCTTCTTCTAGACAGCCAAAATCATGATGACTCAGATTTCACGCGATACATACGTAAACCATTGACTGACGTCATAAACGAGAAGATTTCGTCACCGCAAGATGGACCACTTCGAACCAGTGCATCTTACAAGTTCCAAGCTAAAAGCAATCAGCAGTTTGAAATAGATATCGGGAAGTAATTGGAGGCATCCAAGTACATGAAACAATTGGCGGGAACCGGGGTACCCATCGGGACCCCGGTTCCCCCAAAACTACCGGTACCCATGCATGAATAACGATGTTGTGCTCTTCTCTCTTGCGATGCCGAATGGAAAGTGAGATTACGTTGAAAGCTTTAACTGCCAAACTACCTCAGCTACAGCTACAGTACTAGCATCTAGAACCCTGGTCAAGTTGATCACACCTTCGCGAAGCTTCGACACTTCAACATGCAAGTTGCCCTTGGTGTCTGCCACACAAATGTGTACAATCCATCACCTGCTAACAGCTGATGATCTGCCTGGCATCTCGTGACACACCTGTCAACTTGCTCACGGATCCCGCTGCGCTCACGTAGATGCACTAGTTGGGGTGCAGGCAGCGCCATCGTGAGGAAATCAGCAAGTTGCTGCGCTGACGGGACGTGCTTGAGCTGAATGTCGCCTTGCTCGACATGGTCACGGACGAAGTGGGCTCGGAGATCGATGTGCTTCGCTCTCGGGGTATATCCTTGGTTAGTCGCGATGCTGATCGCCGACTTGTTGTCCATGTAGACCATCGTAGCCGCATTGCTTGTGAGCCCCATTTCCATGAGTAGGTATCGAACCCATACGACCTCTTGAGTTGTCATCGCCAAGGACATGTACTCCGCCTCAGCAACGGTACAATCAAGTGTACCCATTACATGAAGAGTGACGGGTGTCACTCTCTCGAGTACATGGTACCAGTAGCTCCGCAAGCCAACCATTTGAGTTTGTGTGGGCTTTTGTATAGTTAACTTGTAGTTTGTATTACGACCAAGTTAACCTCTACCAAAATACAGTCAGTCTTATAACCTACTCCTTTGTAGCAAACCGTTCCCTTTGAGGCCGGGAACTGGTGAACTGCTGTTCACCTGGATAGTAATACCCACACGCACTTCATCTGTGCATTGTGCTGTGTGACCCCGTCACAACGCCACCGAATTCTGACGCTTGCTCTTGTACACCACCGAGCATCACCAGTAGCCCAGATGTGGATCGTCGAGACTCCCTGTCGCCACCCCAGTTAGCGTCACAGTACGCGTGCAGCACGATCTTGCCCTCGGTCGACTTCTTGTACGAAATACCGTGCTGCGCAGTGCCCTTCAGGTAATGTAGTACGCGCAACGCCGCTCGCCAGTGCATTTCCCGTGGTTGCTCGAGATACTGTGAGAGGACAGACATTGCGTAGCTGATGTCAGGGCGTGTTGCATTGGCGATGTACAGTAACGACCCGACCAATTCGCGGTACACAGTGGGGTTCTTGATCACCGGCTGGTTCTCATCGGGGCACAAATCTTGACCAACGATTAGCGGATTGCGGACTCCGTGCGCGTCCTGCTGCTCGAACTTTTCCAGCATTTTGGTGATAAACTGCGTTTGTTTCAACAGCAGCTCCCCCTTGTTTGGCGAATAGTCGATCTCCATGCCCAAAATGTAAGTGACTTCACTGAAAAGTGTGCAGCCAGCTCTCGGCAGATTGCATCCGCGACTTCATCAGACTCGCATCCCACGAGGAGATCGTCGACGTAGAGGACGATGTAGACTGGGGACTTGGTATCTACTCCGCGGCGACGAACGAAAAGACAGGGGTCTGCTCGGCACTGCTGGAACCCCATGGACAGGAAGACGGCGCGAATTTTCTTAAACCAGACTGCAGCAGCTTGCTTCAAGCCGTACAGAATGCGCCGCAGCTTGCACACCATACCAGGGGCAACACGAATTCCTTTTGGTGGCATCATGTAGACGTCTTCTTCCAAATTGCCGTTGAGAAATGCAGTCTCAACATCGAATTGCCTGATCACGACAAGAATACACGAATTGTGTTCGAACTTGCCACCGGCGAGTAGGTTTGGAAGTAGTCAACACCACGCGTCTGCAAATACCCCAGAGCCACCAAGCGAGCCTTGTAGCGAACGATCTCGCCCTTCTCGTTGAACTTGCGGCCAAAGACCCATTTGAACCCGATGACCTTGACCCCGGGCGGTCTACGCACGATGTCCCACGTGTGATTCCGTATGTGGGCCCTGATCTCCGCTCGGACGGCTTTCTTCCACTGAGGCGATTCCGGTGAATTGACGGCGTCTTCGTATTCTTCTGGAACTTGAGTCGCAGCCATGGCCACCTCGTCGAGGCGCGGTCGTTTCGAGTCAGGTTCAGCGACTTCGTCATCACTGTCCACTGCAGATCCATCCGTAAGCTGCGCCACACCACTTGAAGGTGAGCCATTCGTTAGAAGCGGCACGTCGCCCCCTTCAGCTCTGTCCGTGAGCAACGGCACGTCACCAGGATTGCCGCGATTGCCATCGTCCATGAGCAGGTGGGGTGCTGGTTGAGACAGGAACTGAGGTCGCGTCGACCCACCGCTAAACACAAGTGCATCACCACCAGGAAAATGCCGAGGCCGCTGCATAATTGAGCTCGATAGTGGTGGATCCAGCTCGATGCGAGGCAAATGGCGGTCACCGCCGCTGCGATTGTTGTTCTGCCCTGCCACGACCACTGCATTGCTCGTGCTCGGTGAGTGGCTTGATGCCACCCGAGACGTTTCGATTGCCTGAATATCCCGGCGCTCCCCCTCAATCGGAACTACGGCATTAGAATCCAGTCCTTGCACGCCACCAGAGTCGTCGACTTCCATATCCTCGCCGTTGTCCATCTTGATTTCATCAACGTCCATTGCTTCATCGGCTGACGGCTGGGGTAGGCTTGCTCGGGGGCGTTCTCCATCATCATCCGCGTCATCACGGCAGCTTACCCGAGGAGCTTGGTCGACCATGACCACATCGCGATACCCAGAAGGTGGGCACTCGTCGAGCACAACCGTGCGCGTCGTCACCAGTCGGTTATCCTCCAGATCCCAGACACGGTACGCCTTCGATGTCTCCGCGTATCCAAGGAACACGCAGCGGTAGGCCTTGGAGTCCCATTTCGCGCGCTTGTTGTCGCTGACACGCGTGTATCCCTTCGCCCCGAACACACGCAAGTAGCTCAGGTCCGGGCGCGAGCCAAAGAGAACTTCGTACGGACTTTTGCTCGGCCGTGCGGTGTTGGGGACTCGGTTAATTGTGTGAGCCGCGGTCATAATAGCTTCTGCCCACCATGTACGATCCACCTCCATGTAGTACAGCATTGAGCGTGCCATTTCCGCCAGCGTGCTATTCATCCTCTCTGCCATACCGTTTTGTTGCGGCGTGTAGGGGACCGAAGTCTGGTGAACGATGCCTTGAGCTGCACAGTACTCATTGAACCGACGATTCACGTACTCGCCGCCATTGTCGCTCCTCACGCACTTGATCTTGTGACCGGTTTGCGTCTCGACTATCGCCTTGAACTGTTTAAAGCGATCAAATACTTGTGAGTTCGCAGCCAATAAGTACACGTACACGAAGCGACTGAAGTCATCGATGAACGTCAGCACGTAGAGAGCCCCACCCTTGGACTTCGGCTTCATGGGGCCCATTAGGTCAGTGTGCACGATCTCAAATGGGCGAGTCGTCTTCACCTCGCTCCCTGACTTGTGACTAAAGGGGCTGTTGGTCATCTTGCCACGCACACACCCGTCGCAAACTCCACCGCGCGTCACTGGTACCGCTGGCGCTCCGTCGCACGCCTTCAACACTTGCTGAAACTTCGTCTCCGATACGTGGCCCAGACGAGCATGCCACAATCCAGACTCTTGAGCACCTTGGCTCCCTCCAACGGCTTGATGAGCTTCCGCCGCCGAGTCTTGCTCCACAGTCCACGCAAACAATTTCCCCACGCGACAAATGACAGCAACCTTTTCTCCGCCCACAAGCAGCGTTGCTCGATCATGCTCGAATTGAACAAGAACACCACGAGCAGTCAACGCAGGCACCGACAAAAGCTTCCTATCCAGCTCCGGCACGTGCAGCACATCGGTCAGCTTTACCGTGCTCCCCATGTGCGAGGTCGAATCTCACACAGCCTTTTCCTCTCGCCTGTAGCCGTTGACCATTGGCTACCGTGATGCTGATGGGTGCACCCAGCTCCTGGTACTCGATGAAGTCAGAATATTCACCAGTCATGTGGCAACTTGCACCACTATCCAGCAACCACGTCGAGCATCGCCGAAAACACAAATTCACTTCCCGACTTCGATGAATCCACACCCGGGCAGTCTCGCGCTTGTGGCCACGCTGCCCACACTCGAAGCACTTCCCTTGAAAGCCACCACTTCTGCGCTTGGTCCCTTGCTTTCGGCCGTCCCGCTCACCTCGACCGCGGCATCCTTGGCTACGCCGCTCGCGTCCGCGCTGTTCCGACAGTTTCCTTCTGCTCGCGCTTCTGCAGCGTATCGTACTCCCGTCGCAGCATCACCTTGGCGTCCAGCAACGTCACTTCATTGTGCGCCTCGATGATGCGCACCATCGCGTCGTACTCCTGAGGAAGGCTACCCAGAAGCACCACCAGCTTCTCTCCTTCGTCCACGTCGTCTCCTGCGGCGCCGAGCTTGAGGCACAGCTCGTCAAACTTCAGCATGTGGTCCATAAGATTTGCGCCGCTCGCCATGGAGAACTCGTGCAGCTGTTTGCGAAGCTGCACCCGGTTGTGGAGATTC